ATATATATATATATATATATATAATTATATTTGCAAGAAAGAGCAACAGTGGCTCCCTACGTGTCAATATAAAGAAAATGTACAAAATAAGGGAGGGTGGGAGGATCCACGTCTAAAAATCCAAAAAATACATTTAACTCACCCCTAGGGGTTCCTCCTCCCACAGTACAACCCACACCAAAATAAAGCCCAGAAATTACAAGTATACCCAAACAAAAAAATAGAACCCAAAAAAAATATACCTGTCCAAGTGTGGAAATAAAAACAGGTAAAAAATTAAGAACTAAAAGACTAGCATCAAAAAGATCTCTAAGGCTCTGGAAGCCATCAAAACAGATAAAAGGTTGCTCCAAGCAAACGGCTTTGCTAACAGGGAAGGTGATCCACTGGCAAGAAATCTAAACAGGGCAAGTACAGCAAAACAGAGAGTCCAGAAGATCCTTATAATAATATCCAGAAAAGAATGTGGTCTGAACCTGCCAGAAAACGGAGAGAGCGGCAAAGAGGGAAGGTGCAAGATAAACAATAGAAAAGAAACAGAGAACCCAGCCAAAGAGTCATGCACCAAGTAAGTGCTAAATTCTAACATGAGGCAAATTCAAAGAGTCCCCAGTAATTAAACGTCTAAGAGAAGTAGGGGGGATAAGCCAACAGTGCACACATCCTCTGCTTGCCTGGCTAACCGGTCGGCAGGGGAGTTAACCTCCCTATGTATGAAACTCCAACTAACATTCAGATGGCTATCAGTAATTAAAGCATGAATATGTTTGAGAGTGCAAATAATATCCCATAGAGGTGGAGAGAAACTCAATAACATCACATAAGGAAGTTTTGAATCAGTTTCCACCGCAATAGTATGAAAATTGAAAGCATTTGCCACCATTAAGGCAAGATATACCCCCCAACACTCTATAGCTAAGGGATTATCTGCTACATCAGGTGATGTAAGATAGCACATAAAAAACCCCTCAGAATTTCTAAAAATGCCCCAACAGCAGTAGAAATCGCATTCCAACTACCATCAACAATAACTTTCACCCAACTAGGAGGAGGGGGTGCCCACCTGATTAACCGAGGGGGCCTAGCTTTTAAACCGATAGGGACAATTTGGTGAAGGCCCTGAGGGCCTTAGTGTAATAAGCCAACACATAAGAAGCAATAATAGTGGTAGTTGGAGGAGGGGAGTTGTATTTATGACTGTTTCTAGCAGCCCAAATGAACCGAAGGACCAACAAAGGAAGGGAAAAATCTCCCTTATTATCATCATAAGCCTTCCACTCCCACAAATAAGTACTTAAAATGCCCCTATGAGTCTAGGGGATATTAAAGTGTAAACCCAAAATGTTCCAGACATCCAATGAAAAAACACATTAAAAAAATATGTCTCGAATCTTTCTCCGAGACTTTGCACATAGGACATCTTGATGCCAATCTAAGGCCTTTCAGTTTTAGAATGTCATCAAGAGGCAGTAAGGAGGAGAAATAGCGCCAGAGGTAAAAAGAAATAGAGAGAGTGAAGAGTTTATGCCAAATTCATTTTCTCCAAAACCAATCAGCATGAGAGTGTAATGTGTCATATATCAACTTACAAACTGACTGAGAAGAAGTTTTCTTCCACACAGGATAATCCCTACGGGAAGGGGTAGTAGGAATAATAGTTATGTGCTTAGCATTTATATGCTTAGCATTCAGCTCCCCCACAATAGAGCAAAGTTTAGTGAAATCCCATCTACCTTGAGAAAAGAGGTCAAAGACAAGCAAGTTATTAGTATGGGAAGGATGAGTGTGCTGAGAAAGGGAAGACAATCCCCAATTATCATAAAATCTCTAGCAATGGATCTGACATTTAAAATAGCCTTCCAGATCCGAGAATCACCTGCCTTCCATAAAACCTGGGAAGGGTGGGAAATGACAATATTTTTGATGCATAAAAGAGGCCCATAGAGACACAATATTTTTTATGCATAAAAGAGGCCCATAGAGATGTGCCCTCTCTAAATTTAAACCAAAGTTTGCAAAGATTAACTTCAACTGTATGTTGCAGGGCTTTAAAACCAAAACCCCCAGCTTTTTTAGGCTTACACAACCTGTGCCAAGAGACCCAAATCTTCTTAGCACCACTCCCAACCCAAAGGAATTTATTAAAAAGCCTCTCCATAACTTTAATGACACTTTTATTTGGATTGAACATTTGTAATGCATATAGAGGAATACTTTGAAGCACACTAGAAAACAAAGTAATCCTACCCCCAGTAGCGTTAATTTTCTGCTTAATTTTGTCAATGACATCTTCCATATGAATCTATTTTTTCCTTCCCCTAATCAAATTAACCCCAAGATACTTTAAAGGGAGAGAGACATGATGATAACCAGTGAAAGAAGCCCCCCAATGGGAAATATGATGTTTAACATGCTTGCCAAAATACATCCGATATTTGTCACAGTTAAAAACCAGTCCAGAACAATCCTGGAAAACATTTAAGAGCCTCATTAATTTTTTAATTGCAAGTTTGGAAGCATTTGCAAAAATAATAATATCATTAGCATATGCAAGGTGAGAGACCACACTTTTAGCCTTATGAGCAAATTGTGTGTGAGGGTATAACAATTGAAAATGATTAAGCAATCTAGATAAATAATCAAAGACAATGATGAAAATAATAGGGGAGAGAGGGTCCCTCTATTTAATGCTCATTTTAGCAGTGAAAAAACCATAAGAATTGCCATTAACAAGCATAGAGTAGTGGTTGTTGGCCAACCATCTTTTAATTAGCATGCAAAAGCTAGAACTGAAACCTCTTGCCACCAATACATTGATAATGAATTCCCAACTAATAGTATTGAAGACCTTCTTGATATCTAATTTGATAACTAAATTACCACCCCTGCATTTTCTATCGAGATCTTTTATAATTTCTTGGGCTAACAAAATATTGTCTGAAATATCACAGCCTTTTATAAAAGCCGATTGATGTGGAGAAATGAGAGAGGGAAGGTGGGGCTGTAAGCGGGCCACAATCAATTTAATTATGATCTTTGAAACCACAGAAGTAAGAGAGATAGGTCTGAAATTCTTCCAATGCAATTTATCATTAGATTTAGGGATAAGCACAATCAAGGCAGCGGTAAAGTAATTACCAGGATCCTCTCCCTGAAAAAAAACTTTGAATAATAAGAATTACCTCCTTTTTTATGATGTCCCAGCAAGAGATATAGAAAGCAGAAGTAAAACCATCAGGGCCAGGTGCCTTTTGGGAATAGATATCTTTGAGAGCAGAGAGAATTTCCATCTCCGAAGAGGGGTCGGACAAATAGAGGGACAATACCAAATATTTGTGGGCATCAAACATTTCTGGATCAATATCATTGACCGAGACAACATCAACATAAAGAGAAGCAAAATAATCAACACCGTTGGATCCAAGTTAATCAACATTAGTGAGGACGACACCCTCATCAGTGACAATCTTAAGAATAGCATTAATATTCCTTCTATGCTTGATGGTGGCGTGAACATATTTAGTATTTCGATCACCATTGCTAAAATGAATGTCGCATGTTTCCTGCCTTAGGAAATCCTCCTCAATAGTGATTTCCTCCAAGAGTTTTTGGTGAGCCTGAGCCAACTTATGGACAAGAAAAGGAGTGCAGATCACCTGTGCCTCCAAAGCATCCACCTCGTGTTGAGCATCAAAACCCTGGAGTGAACATTGTCACATATATCAAAATTTTACTTCAAAAAAGAAGACATTTTTTTATGCAATTGCCACAAAATAAACCAAGGGCTGCCACTTCACCGAGAACACCAAACTTGTTTAACCAAATCAAGAAATGTAGGATGAGAAGTCCAGACATTGAGAAATTTAAAATGAGAGTGAGCAGGTTTAGAATGAAAAACCAAACTAAGCAAAATAGGATTATGATCCGAAGCAGCATGATTAAGATGTTTGACATGAATGATATTATAATAGTCCAACAAAGAGGAGTATCCCAGAAATTTGTCGAGTCTCTGCATAAGAAGGCCCCTCCAAGTATAGGGAGAACCTCAGAAACCAAGATCATAGAGACCAGCATCATTAATATACTCACATAAACGAATGATAAGATTTGTATCAGCTTTAGTTCCACCTCTTCTTTCTGAAGGGGACATTACCATATTTAGGTCACCCCAACAAACTAGTTATCTGAAATAGAAGCATCAATGTGTATAAGTTGTTGTCAAAGAAGTAATTTATCCTGTAATAAGGAGCTGACATAAATAAAGGTAAATATGGAAATCCTCCACCTTATAATGTACAAGAACATACTGCATATCATCATCAATGATGCTGAAAGTGATTTCCTTTTTCCAAAAAATCTAGATTTTATTATTCTGATTACTATAGTGCAGGTAATTTTTGAATTTTTTAATAGTACCATCCTTATGGACAGACACCAACGGCTCCAAAAGAACAAAAATGCCCAGCTTATGGACCCTTCATAAATATTTTAAACGATTAAAGGAGTGGGGGTCCGCCACTCCCCTAATGTTCCATACAAAAATGTTGGCCCAAAACAGAATGTTAAGCATGTTGGCTCAAAACACCCCTCCTAGTGACCCTAGGGGGGAGGTGCAAGTGCTCTCCCTCATAATGGTAAGTGACATCAATA